TAAAATTGCTTTCCACATCTCCTGGTCTAAAGCCCAAAATATCTCTTCCAGTAGTTTCTTTCACATACATGCCCTTTGAAAACACTGAACTATAAAACTCATGCCTGTCCTTTGAGTCTCCATGCTCAAGGCAGCTACATGGCCCAATAGATAGAACCTGGAGTCAGGGAGATGTGTATTCAAATCTGGCCTCAGATATTTCCTAGCTGTGTGACCTTGAGCAGGTCACTTCACCTCAGTTTGCCTCAGTTTCCCCACCTGTAAAATGGAGGTCATAATAGCACCTACCTTCCAGGGTTGTTATGAGGATGAAATAAGATATTTGCAAAGTACTTATCACTGTGCCCTGGCACAAAGTAAGCATTATATCAACGCTATTCCTCCCCTTTTCTTGCAAATTACTTTTCATTACTTGCCATTACTATTCAGGGAATAGTAAACCAGTCTACAATTGTTTCTGGAAAGGCAAATGTCCCTTTACTTCCACTCCATCTCCATCCACGTGACTTTCCTAATCAAAAGGCTGTCCCCTAGCCACAGCTTCTCTACATGTGTCCCCAAGATTCCCAAAAGATAAACTCCATGAGCAGAGGGGCTTTCACTCTTGTAACTGCTAGCCCATTACTCAGTCCAATGCACATATCTAATAAATGCTTTTCTATTCATCCCTCCAAAGTCCCTCTTCTGGTAACTAATCCCACCTAGTTTTTATTCACTTCAGTTAACAACCAACCCTCTGTACTTAAGCATGTATTTTTCTCCAATTCTAGTTAACTATGTAACGATTTCTTGAGCATGGGTCAGATTGCCTCCACAGGTAGTAAGTGAAGGCAGTAATCCTTTCTTTGCACAGCTCTATTGTTCTTAATATAATGGCTTTGTACTTTGAGGGAACTGAGATAGAAAAATTGTTTCAAAAAGTTATGGAATTTAGAAAGAAAAATCAAATGAAACTCTGTGGCTGGTAACCGAGAGAATGGCCACAAAAGGATAAAGAATCTATTAGGCTATTAAAATATATTCATATTTCTTCTGTTTCAAATACCTGAATGTAGTTCTTAAAAAACCACCACCACCACAACACCCTAGCAGACACCAAATTTTTTCTCCTCTGGCGGAGGAAAGATGAACAAATTAAGTGAATTTCCCTTTTGCCCTCATTGAAACAAGAGAAAGCTCATTTGCTAGTCCCTTGAAATTTTCAACCTGGACATGCAAATGTGGAGCCAAAGAGACATTAGTCAAATTTATGACTGAGTAAACTAAACTGAGCAAGTCCAAATAGAAAGCAAGCTTCATATGTTAGTTTATAAGTGGTATTCATTCATTCAGTAAACATTTATTAAGTATGTGCCCTTAAGTATCTGCTATGTGCCAGGAACTGTGCTGGGGACACAAAAAGGCAAAAGACAGCCCTTGCCCTCAAGAAGCTTACTACCTAATGGAAGAGACAACATGCAAACAAACACACACAAAGCAAGCTAGGAAATAATTAAAAGGGGGAAAGCATTCAATTGAGGGGTAAGGGAAGCTTCCAGTAGAAGGCGGGATTTTAGTTGTGACTTAAAGGAAGGAAAAGGGCTGGGAAAAGGAGGAAAGATGGCGTTCCAGGCATGGGGAATAGCCAGAGAAAACCCCCCAAGGCCAAGAGTTGGGCTGTCTTCTTGGAGGAACAGCCAGAAGGCCAGTATCACTGGATCCAAGAATACAATTCAGGGAGTAAGACGTAAGAAGACTGAAAAGGCAGGATGGGGATAGGTTATGAAGGGCTTTGAATGATGAGCAGGATTTTGTATTTGCTCCTGGAGGGAATAGTGAGTTACTGGCGTTTATTGTGTAAGGAGGGAAACGTGATCTGATCTGGTTTAAGAAAATCACTTTAGTGGCTGAATGAAAACTGGATTGGAGTGGGGAGAGGCTTGTTGACCCACCAACAAGCTGTTGCAGAAGTCCAAGAATGAGGTGATGAAGGTCTGCACTAGAGAGGAGGCAGTGTCAGAGGAGAGAAGGAGGCATGATCAAGAACTGTTGCAAAAGTAAAATCAGCAGGCCTTGGCAAATAGCTTGGATATGGAGAGTAAGAGGTAGTGAGGAACCCAGGATGACTCCCAGGTTGGAAGCCTGAGGTACTGAAACCCTCAACAATCAATAGGAAAGGTAGGAGGTTGATGGTAGTTTGGGGACACATCGAGTTTAAGATATCTTTTGGACATCCACTTCGAGATGTCTGAAAGGGATTTGGAGATGAGAGAATAGAGGTCAGCAGAGAGATTGGGAAGGAAAGATGGATTTGAGAATCATCAGCAGAGATAGTAATTAAATTCATGGGATAGTAATTAAATTCATGGGAGCCGATGAGATCACCATGTGAAGTAGTATAGAAGGAGAAGAGGACCCAGAACAGAAACCTGAGGAACATCTGTCATTAAAAGTCATGACGCAGGGGCAGCTAGGTAGTGCAGTGGATAGAGCACTGACCCTGAAGTCAGGAAGACCGGAGTTCAAATCCGGCCTCACACTAAACACTTGACACTTATTAGCTGTGTGACCCTGAGCAAGTCACTTAACCCCAACTGGCTAAAAATTAAATAAAGTCATGATGTAGAGGTGGATCCAGCAAAGGAGACTGAGAAAGAGAATGCAAGATAGGTAGAACCAGGAAAGAATGGTGGTCCTTAAAACTTGGAAAAGAATATCAAGGACAGTGTGATCAATAGTGTAAAAGGTTGCAGGTGAGCTCAAAGAAAATGAGTGAGAAAAAGCCATTGAATTTGACAACTAGATCACTACCTGAGAGTAGTTTACAATTTGAAGGCAGATTGTAAGGGGTTATAGGAAAGTAGAGACCCCTAATGTAGATGGATTTGGGGGGAATTTAGGACAAAAGGCAGAAAAGGGATCAAGTGAGGGTTTTTTCAGGATGCGGGAAATATGGGCAACTTTGTAGATAGCAGGAAAGGAGCCAGCAGAGAGGGAGAAATTAAATATAAGTGAGAGTGGGGATGACAGAGGAGAGACATTCTGTGGGAGAGGAAGGGATGAAATCACTTGAACAAGACGGGTTCGCTTTGATAAAGAGTAGGGCCACCTTATCATGTGAGACAGGGTTGTGGGAGGAAAAAGGGGAAGGCATCAGTGATAGGAAATGAGGAAAAGGGAAGAGGGAGTACATGGTAAATGACCTCAATTTTTTCCTGTAAAACATTAGGTAAAGTTCTCAGATGAGTAGAGGGCAGCAGGAGCTATGGAAGGTTTGGAAGAACTTCTGTAGAGAATAGGTGAGTGAATTGATTAGGGAAGTTAGTAGGATTGCCTAACTGGAAGGGCCCAACTAAGGTTGTATAACACAGACCGGTGGTGGACCCAACCCGAACAGTTTCGATTTTCCCCACTTTTGTTCAGCAGCTGATGTGTAGACTCAAAGGTTAGAATGATACAAATCTGAGACTGGCTGGCCCTAATTGGCGACATGCTGTTTGGACTAAAAGGCCTAGGAATTTTAAAAAGTAATGTTGAATTGGTTCAGAGGGGTCCAAGATGTGGAGGAAGGGCTAGCGCAGGAGAAATGGTTTGAGGTCAAGAGATTGGAGGTCACAATGAAGATTAATAGTGAAGGCAAGAAGCAATGCAAAGACCCTCAAATGAGAGAATTCCAGAATTCTCGAATATGAAGGTGTTAAATTTGTGGGTAACAGCAAGATTTAGTGTATGACCATCTTTGTGTGAGGTATATCACCTTTCATAGTGCCAATAGCTGGCAAGTTACTTATTTTCAGTCACAGCTCGATTTCCTCACTTTATAAAGGCTTATGTAGTATCATTATAGTCGCATCACTACCATGATTTACATAATACTTTGAATGTCTTTCTTGTGAACTCAAAAAAAACCCCTAAGAATTCAATGGTTACTTACATGTTTTTTTCTCTTTCCTATTGTAACTTTAACCTCTGCCCTAAGGCTGAGCCAACTCTGATCCATATGTGAAAACTCAATTGGCTGGCAGGCCTCAAATTGAGTCTTATCTACTACAGGCATTTTGTCCCCTGCCCCACCCCCAACCCAAAACTGAAGAGACAACTTGCCTTCATTCCTAATCCATCCCGAGGATGCCTAAACCTAGACTCACTTGGACTTTATCCCATTCAAATGTTGTGACAGTGGGATTTGCTCATCACTTGTATTTGAGTTCCCAGAATCTAGCCATTAGATATGTAATACTTGTCAACCAAGTCTACCATAAAGCTTTAAACAAATACCATCCCATTTTTATTATACTGCAACAAGCTGCCCAATTTACTTGTGTGTGCATCTCAAATGTCACCCTCCCCCCAGCCATGACAAAACACCTCAATTCTTGGCTTTAGTAGCTTCTTGGTAATTTCATGGCAGTTAACACAGGAATATTTCTGAAAATTAAAAGTAATTTTCTATGCTGAAAAGAGATCTACAAATCTTAATTCTGTAACTCACCCCCAGTCTAGACCATTATCTAATCACATGGGGGGGGTAAGGTAGCTATGAAGCTATTCTACTAAGCACTCTTGGGTAAGGCTTTTCCTGTTGGTATTAACATTGTTTCCTACATAGCAATTTCTTCCACCAGGAGTAGCAGCAGCTAGCTGTAGTCACATGTTTAAGATAAAAAAATCTTTAAGTCATGTGAATTGTGACAATGTAGCTGTATCTACTAGTTAAAATTCACCAACGGAATTAAAAGATTCAGAAATGTACTTTTTAAAATTTGAGTAGAGATAAAACACTACATCTGTGCATAATTTTGTTCTACTTAGAATTTGGTTATCATTGGGATAGGTGTTACAAGATTTATCCAGGACAGTATACGAATGCCTTTTCTTGGCAAGTGGCCAGTTCCCTAGAAACCCCTTCTCAGTTAATAAATATGGCTGAAATACATAAGCAAATAAGCCAACATTAAAGATTTCTTTTTCATACTCCAATGAAAACCAACTACTAAAATGGAGAAACCATGCAAAATAAAAATAATTAAATGCTTCACTTTTATTATAGAACCCAAAATACAAAACTCATTCCAAGGCTTCAATTTAGATTGACATCACTGAATATGGTCCATTTTCTCACTATTCCGGTGGTGGTCATATCACAGCATTACCTGATTACTGACTTTTGTCTTGATATGCTTCCTTCCCAACAATATTTTGCCTACAGTAGATTTAAATAAAGCTTATCAAAGTTGAAGTTAACAGAGTCTAGCTTTTTTCCACTATCACCTCAAACCACCCTTTCAAAGTATGGTTACCATTCCCATGTATGTTAAGCAATATAGCCTTTAAAAAGCTGCATTCAATTGATACTCAATCCACATAAATTAAAATTCTATTCTATCGACAGCTCATACACAGGAAAAACATACAACACTCATGTGATTACTTTATTCTTCAACTTTACCCTTCTTCCACAAACCACCTTAGGTACACTACTTAGCTAGTGTGAAAACTTTTAGCTTAACTGTCTAAATTATATATACTCACACCTTTTAACTTTATTACCAAGTTGTGACCAGTCATCTAACAGTAGCACAAAGTTTTTCTTAACCTGTCCAGCCCCTATCTTTACTTTGTGAAATGTATGACTCAGATGTATCTTACTGATATGTTTGAAACACATTTTAAAAACAACTAGTCATAAAAACGTGAAGGCCATTTAAATAGTAACATGGTACACATCTACCACGGATCTTACAAAACAGGTTTTAAAATGCTTATTGTAAACAAGGGATAAGAGCTCACTTGCTTAGATATTTGAAATACAACTTTATTATGATCTAAACGAAAAAGGAATGGGAATGACAGTAACAAACAAGATTCACCACTGAATATTGTGATGGGACTGCAGCAGTTTTATATTTGAAACTCAAGGGGACGTAATTGCGGTCCAAAACAGCTAAATACGCAGGTCCAAAATATGAATTATATTTTTTTAAACTGCCACATTCACTCCGAAGCCCATTCATCTCCTTCAGCATCCCAAAGATTAAGCACATGTTCTGCTCAGCTATATAATAAAGTGGCAAACACGCTACACCACTGACATCACAGGACAGTTGCCTATAAAACTAGACCTCTGACGCTGGGCTCTAGCTTCATTCCCTTACAGGTCATCATCTTCATCAGGGAGCGCAGTTGTCTGAGCAATCTGGAATAAGTGGTTAAGAAGTTATAAATTTAGCAAGGAAAGAAAGGAAATAAAGTTCAAGTACTTAATACAGTCTGATTAACTGGAATATGACAAATACCTGTAAGTCCTGCTCATACTGTGCTGCCAGTGCTGGGTCCATGACAACCTCTGGAGGTGCAAGAGCAGGCATGGCAACAAACTCCAAATTAGGGTCTCCAATAAGTTTTCTAGCAAGCCAAAGGAAGGGCTTCTCAAAGTTGTAGTTACTTTTGGCTGAGATGTCATAGTACTGTTAAAAAATATATATATATATATATATAATATGTATACACACACACAATTTTAAAAACCAGTAACTTGCCAACATTCAAGCAGACTATTCCACAAGAGTTTGTCAGTTAAGCTCTTTTGCTGTCCCTTATATGCAATTTTAAAATTCTTTAAATTTCTACTTCCTTGTAGAACAGTTAATATGCAGAGTTTAACAAAATACACAAATAATCTAATATAGAAGCACTCCACAAATTGTTAAAAGTGGGTTTATCCTGTTGCCTGGTACGAGTCTTGTTTCGCATGAATATAGATATGCAATGAATCCTACTCTTAAGTAAATGGTCAATTTTAGACTTACCTGGAGATTCTTCTTCCTATGGAAGACAATTGATTTCGCCTTGACTTTTCTGTCCTTAATATCCACTTTGTTGCCACACAACACTATGGGGATATTTTCACATACTCGTACCAGATCTCTATGCCAGTTTGGTACATTCTTGTAAGTGACTCTTGATGTTACATCAAACATTATAATGGCACACTGAGCTGAAAAGAAATTCAATGAATATTAAGTGAACAACAGACAACTTATTGGAAAACATAATGAGCAAAGTGGAATTAAATGAAGGTGGAAGTCAGGAGACAGCTTCACATTTCTATTTCTGCCACCAGCAATTTTGTACAACCTTCAGGAAACTACTTTTGAATAGTAGTTCAAGTGCTAGATTTGGAAGATAGGAAGACCTGAGTCCTCTTTGAATCATGCTGAGGCATGCCTTGAGAGGCACTACCTGTGTTGACTTCTGGGCAAGTCACTTAGCTTTTCTAGATCTGTTTCCTCATTTGAAGAAAAGGGATGATAGCATCTACTCACATATGGTTGTTGTGAGAATCAAATTAACATAAAAGCTCTACAGAAATGCTAGTTATTAGATGATCTCAAAAACCCTTTTATAATTCTAAATGAACAAATGGCAGACAAAAATATTGTCATTTTCAAATAAAACCAGAAATTTATGAGTTTAAAAGTCTTGACTTCACAACATTAAAATTTAAAATGATTCTTTCAAGTTCCTGAGGCAGCAAGATTTAACCTTTCAAACTAAAGCTGAAATGTTTTACACATTTACAGGTATTTAGGGGAAGAAAAATTTGGAGCCCCAGGGACAAGTAGCTTAAACACTCTAGCCTTGTTTCTTTAAGCTTGAGAGATCCACTTTCAAATCCTAATTCTATAATCTTTCATTTTTAAAGTGTAAAGATTTTTGTAACAACCAGGCACATAGACGCTACCTTTCTTTCAAAAATTCAAATAAAGTTTCTCAAAAGTTTATCTATTAAAAAACAACTTGGTCAATTAACTGTCACATGTCTAAGCAATAAAAAATTATGCTACAACTTTAACTAGTATCTCACACAAAATATATAGGGGTTCCTTTTTGCTATCAGCAAACAGCTTGCATTTGGTACCTCAGCAGACCAGCTGAGATTCAGATCTCAGACCAACATTAAATACAGTAGCTCCACAAAGAACAGAAGTCACTTGTAAAAAGTATACATATATTAAGGAGACTCTTGGGAACAGCTGATACACGCAAACATGCAAAATAATTATATACATACCTTGGATGTAATAACCATCTCTCAGACCACCAAATTTCTCTTGGCCAGCTGTATCCCATACGTTGAATTTAATAGGACCTCTGTTAGTATGGAACACTAGAGGATGGACCTCAACACCCAGGGTGGCTGGAATAGTGAAAAAGTTTTGACTTAGTTCACTGACTTTAACTGAAACTGGTGCAGGTAACTTAAAAAAAAATACATACCTACATACTTCTTCTCAAATTCACCAGTCAAGTGACGTTTCACAAATGTTGTTTTTCCAGTACCTCCATCACCAACTAATACAAGCTGTTGAAAAAGGTATTTTAAGTGGACTTAAAACCATATATGAATATTCTCGATTTCAAACAATATCAAACAGTACCATCTAAATGCCTTCTTTAACACTGATTTCCATATACTATGCACACTAGGTGGATTCAGAGAGCTATTACAGTTTAAGTAATCAAGTATAGAAGAACACATTGTTTTCAGGGTACATGAAGCTGTGTTATGCACCAACCAAATAATCTAAATGCTTTTTTGAATAACTAACAAACACTAACTAGGTCCTAGGTAGACTAAAAAGCCTCACTAACTACTTTTTAGGAGGTAATCAATTACAAAATACAGATTATTCTCAGGAACTATTATGTAAGTGGGGAGGCTGTCGTGCAAACTCATCTATTCTCATCACAAGGCCGCCTTTTGATCCAACGGTTTCTTCTAGGTGCAGAAAAGAGCCACCCCTGCCCCAGCCCCCCAGGAATTACGTACTTTGAACTGCACTTGGGGTTCTCCTTGGGCGGCCATCGCGATGGTTCTGGGAGAGAGATACAAGAGCGTCAGGCCCTCGGACCCGTGGCCGCATGCACCCGCCCCCCGCCCCCCCAGCCACGTGCCCCGGCAGCCGCACAAAGCCCCCCCCCCTCCGCGCCCGGGTAAACAGGCCTGCTCTGCCCATTCATCCAGGGCCCAGGCCGCGACACAGGCGGCGGCTCCTCCCCCCACCCGCGTGGAGCGACGATGGCGAGGGAGGGGGATGAATGAGGCGCTAATGGCGGCGGCCCTTTTTTTTCCCCCAGAGTTTCGGGTTCATTCAACCGCAGGGAGCCGGAGGGCGTCTCCGGGGGACGCCAAAAAGGGGCGGCGGAGGCCGGGCTGGTCCTGGGAAAACCGCCTGGTCATGGAGCCCGCGGCGGGAGGGAATGGGGGAGAAGGAAGGCGAGGCCGCTCCCCCACCCCGCCCGCACTCGCACCCGCACTCACATCCCCTCGGGCCCCTTCCCCGGCTCCCTCATGGCCCGCGGCCTCCGCATGGACTGCGTGGCCGGGGCCTCCTCACACAAAGCGCGCCAAGCCCAGCCCGGCCCGGCGCGGGCGCCCACCCCCCTAAGAGGGGGGACCGGGCGCCCGCCCAGCCGCCTCCCTGTTGGCGTCGGTCGTCTAAGCCTTCTTTTGGAACCCCCGGCCGCCGGCCTCCCCTCCCTGGCCCGGGCCCGGTCCCGGTTCCCCGCGCCGCACCCCGCCACTACCTTCCAGAAGCGTCTCCGTCTCCGCCTGACTGAACGATGGAAAGATGGCGGAAGCTCGATTCAAATACCCGGAGACGCAGCCGACGCCGCCGCGCGCGCGGAATAGGGAGGGGCCGAGGGGAGGGGATAGGGGCGGGGCAACGGCGCAACGTGCCCCCACGTGCGCCAGGCGTCGCGCGCTCAAGTGGATGTTACGTTACCGGCTGCCCCCAAAAAAGGGAGAGAGGGCGGGGCATAGAGGGCGGGGGCGGGAAGAGAGAAACGGACTGACGAGCCGGGAGCGCGCCGACGCCTGGTCTTTACAGTGCCATCGGGAGCGCTGCGGCGGACTTTTGCGCATGCGCTCCCTCAATCGAGAACGCTCCCGACTCCTCTAATCCCTTCTACCCCTCCCAGAAAGACTTTTACCGCGCTCTCGCCCTCCACGCAGGCCCCCGTGCGCATGCGCTGCCCAAAGGCCTGCCAGGGCCACCACGAGAGCGCGCTCGAGTGATTCTCCTCACCCTTCTAATCACTTTTTCCCCGCCGCCCTCCCTTACCTTTACCGCGCTCTAGCGCCTGGCCTCCGTCCCACCTCAGCTCTCGACTGGCGTGTGCGCATGCGCCCCAAAGGCACTGCTGAGACAGCTGCGGAAGCGCGCTCGAGCTTTTCCGCCGAGATCTAGTTTCTTCTTTCCCGGCCCCACCTACACTTCACCGCACTCTCGTCCCCGCTCTCGATCCCGCCTCGGCGCGCGGCCGGCTCATGCGCATGCGCCCCAAAGGAACTGCTTAGGGCCGCCGCGGGAGCGCGCCTAACAACCACCTCTAGAGGGAAGAAGCGGGAGGTGGGGTACGGGGAGGTGGGCTCCCGCCAACTGGAAACTCGAGGGCCTGTCCTCTTTCAGGCCCGATGTCTGCCGGGATCTAGGCACCGAACTCGAGCCCTTCAGGAATCCGAAAAAGCTGGGACAAAAGGCACTAATTAATTCCTCAGAATAATGACAATAAAAGTGTCAGATGGTGTAAAGCGCTTTGCAAACCTTAAAGCACTGTCTACATGCTGTTATTGTTATAATTCATCGAGTGCTTCAGAATTTGCAAGGCCTTCACGTGTTCTCATTTGTCCCTCAGTAACTGCGAGGTAGTCAATCTGCAAGCATTTATTAAGCGCTTACTGTGTGCAAGGCACTGTGCCAAGTGCTGGGGCTTTAAAGAAAAGCAAAAGAAGGCCCAGTCTCCAGGAGCATACGTGGATTATTAGTCCCCATTTCACAGAAGAGGACATTGGGGCTGGGGGGGGTGTTAGATGGCATCTAGTTCAGTTCCTTGGGTATTTTCCCACCCCCACTCCCACCTCGATCATTGGGAGGAGGGGAGAGTTGTTCTATGTTGCCTAGTCAAGGAGGATGTCAAAAGACTAGGGGCAGTCCTGGTCCCTGCTGCCTCTAAAGTCGGGTTAGAAGCCTAGTCCTTGCTTCTGAGCTCCTTTTACTTAAAGGGATTTAGAAGTGGAAGGAGATGCTTGGGAACCCTCAGATTAAGGCAAAGCATCAACCATTAAGCTAGCAAGTGCCGGTTAGAAGCCGACTTTGTACAAGAAGCTTTTTCCAATCCCGCTTTGTCTTACTGCCTTACCTCTGAGATTATCTCCAGTTAATCCTTTATCTTGTTTTAAAGTAGCTGTTTGCGGGTCCCCCCGCTTATCAGACTGTGAGCTCCTTGAGAGCAGGGATTGTCTTTTGCCTTTCTTTCGTAACCCTAGCACTCAGCATAGTGAGAGGCACACAGTAGTTAATTAATGCATAATCAATGACTTGATTAAACACTTTCTATATTCTTGGAGTTACATAGGTTTTAGAGCCAGAAGTCATCTTCAGCTATCACCTCATCCAACCCACTTATGTTACAAAGAAGGAAATTGAGGCCCAGTGACCCAAGATCATAAAAGTTTGGATTTAGTACCCAGGTATAATGACTCCAAATCCCAGTGTTATCTGTATTAAACCATGCTGGACACGGCAGGAAGTGGAGGTCTAGATCGATGATTAGGGGTCCCTACCTTCAGTGAATCCTATAGTTTAATGGGGGGACAGTCGGATCTGGATTTATGGTTTTGATGGCATAGGGAACATGGAGATGTTCTCTAGCAATGTAGGTCAACACTTTCACTGCAATTTATAGCCTTACAGAATCTCTGAGAGCCTGAGAGATAGGGCACCTTACTCACAATCAGTGTAGCAGAGTTGAGACTTAAATCCAGGCAGCTAGGTGATGAAGTGGATAGATCCTGGGGACTAGAGTCAGGAAGGCCTATATTCAAATGTGGCTTCAAACCGTAGCTGTGTGACTCTGGGCAAGCCCCTTTACCTCTCTCTTCCTCAGACTCCTCATTAAAATGAAGATAATAGCACCTGCCTCCCAGGTTTGTTGTGAGGGTCAAATGAGACAATATGCAGAATGCACTTAGCACAGTGCTTGGCACCTAGTAGGTTTTTTAAAAATACTTTTTTTTTGAGGCAATGAGAGTTAAGTGACTTGCCCAGAATGACACGGCTAGTAAGGGTGTGAGGCCAAATTTTAACTCAGATCCTCCTGACTCCAGGGCCAGTACTCTGTCACAACTGTGCCACCTAGCTGCCCTAAAACATAGTAGGTTTTTAATAAATGCTTGTTTTCTTCTCCTGCCTCCCTCCCTCCAAATCTAACTGTCTATTCACTATATGTAGCACATTCTCTCTAGTCTAGTGATAAAACAACAAACCAACTACAATACCCAACAAGACAAGATCAGCAATTTAGGAACTTACAACCAAATGTCATGTGAGAGCTGAGAGGGTCATGTGGTAATCTGTCATAGATCTAGAAGGCCCTGATGAGATAAAGTACTTTGCTAACTCTAAAGATCTATATAAATGCTAGTTTATTATTATCATTATTATTACTATTATTATTAAGACAGCAAGGTGGCGAAGTATGCTGGACCTGAAAGCAGGAAAACCAGCTTTGTGATCCTGGGTAAGTCATTTTGCCTCTGTTTGCCTTAGTTTACTCAATCATGAAATGAAGATCAAATGAGAAAATATTTGCAAAGTGCTTAGCACAGTGCATGTCATTTTCCCCTTCTTCCTCATCTGAGGAAAATGTGATGATGGCTAAGATAACAAGGTAATAAATGCCTAAGATACAATTTGAACCCAGGTCTCTGATTACAAATCCAAAGTTCATATTGCCACAACTTCTCAACTATATTTTGGCTGCCACAACAGCTGAAATGGCCCCCTGATTCTGGCTATTTGTTGGCAGTGTGGAATTTCATCTCTCAGGTCTGCTATTACCTGTATCTTTGCTCATAGAATATGTGATTGGAAGAAACTAAATTATGTTCCTGAAATCAAATATTTAATAAAACATTTATAATATACTGACTCTTTGTAAGATACTGTGTTAAATCCTGGGGATTTTTTGTTATGGTTGTTCAGCATTCAACTCTTCATGACCCCATTTAGGGTTTTCTTGGCAAAGATACTAGAGTGGTTTGCCATTTCCTTCTCCAGTTCATTTTACAGATAAGAAAACTGAGGTAAACCGGGTTAATTGACTTGCCCCGGGTCACTCAACTAGTAAGTGTCTGAGGCTGGATTTGAACTCAGGAAGATGAGGCTTCCTGACTCCAGGCCCAGCAGTTTATGCACTATGGTGCCATTTAGCTGCCCAGACTTTTTGTGAGACACTGTGCTATATCCTGGGGCATACAAAACTTACGAGAGTGGCTGACCACAAGGAGGTCCTATTCTATATGATAATTTCCATTTATGTAACACTAAGGTTTACAGAATACTTTTCTCTGAACAACCTTGTAAGATAGCCCAAATATTATTATCACTATTTTACAGATAAGGAAAAATATCAAATAGAGATTTGAACTCATGTCTCAATTTCCTCATTTACAAATGGGATATAAGATTATAACCACAAAGTCGTGGTGAGGCTCAAATGTAAAATATATGTAAAATTGTAAGCCTGAAAGCATTATACAAATATCAACTATTATTATACCAGTCTTCCTCTCCTGGAATCTTAAAGACATCTTGTCAAAACAAATCAATCAAGTCAAGCAGCTTTTATTATGCCCTTATTACGTGCCAAACCCTGTTAGTGCTGGGAGTATAAAGTAAAGCTGAAAGTCCCTTCTCTCAGGGAACTTACTTTCCATTGGTGAAGACAAAAAATAAAAGGGGACTAAAAAGGAGGGGAAGGGATAAAGTGCCTGCTCAGGGGAATGGTTGTTTTCCAAGAGGACCAATGACATCATAGGGTGACAGCTTGATTTGTGCGTGAATTGAACATTTCCCCAAAATAGAGGTTTCAGAAGGCACTCACCAATGAGGAAAGAAGGCCATAGGGTAAAGGTATGCTCCAAAGTGAGAAAGCTATACAAACTCTAGTGAAACTGCAAGTCTGAGAAGGCAGCTGATGCACAGTGATAAAGTCTAAAGAATCTAGAATACAGCTGGTAGAGGAACTTGTAACTGACCAGAGACAACATTCCCAACAAGTAATCATTCTATTTTGAACTTGTTCAATGGCCAGATAGCCATAGATAGAGATTCTGGGAGAGGGGGTGAGTTGAAAGGGAAATCCAACAATCCAGTTCACTCCAAGAAATATTTTGAAGTACTCATTATGTCTAAAGCATTGTGCCAAGTAGTGGGATTAAAAAAAGAAAACAAAACCCCATTCATTCCCCTTAATGAATTTACACGGGGCAGGGTGGGAAGGGGAGTGATAAACATAAACAATTAAGTATATATATGAATACTTGAGGAGAGAGAGAACACTAAAGGTCAGGGGCATCAGGAAAGGTTTCCTGTAGGAAATGACACAAGTTGTGCCTTGAAGGAAGCCAGAAATTCTAAGAGCTATCAAGGGAATGCCAACGATTTAGACATGAAGCTAAATGAAAATCTGGACTAGAGAACAATATTTGTATAAGCATGTGTATTTAGCTTAAATAAGTGAAGCCTTGGGAGACTTGGTATCTGTCTTCAAATATTGAAGACCTGGCACAAGGAAGAGGGGTTCTGCATGCCTAGAAGGCAAAATTAAAAGCATTGGGTAAAAGTTGCAAAGCAAAATCAACAAACATTTATTAAGTGCCTACTATGTCCCAGGCACTGTGCTAAGTGCTGAAAATACAAATACAAGCAATAAGAAAGATAGCTCATGCCCTGAAGAGAGCGATAACAATGCACAGAAGGAAACCGAGAAGGTGCCAGTGTCTGGGCATGGTAGAGAAAGTCCAGAGAGTCAAGACCCCAGAGAGGAATGATGACCTGACTGGCCTGGGCACTTTCCTTAAAATGGAGAGTCTGAGAGGTGTTGAGCAATCAGAAGAAGGGACTGAAGGGGCAGAGTCAATTTCCAGGGTGAAAAGGTTGAGGACATCAGAAGAGTCAGAAGTAGAGCCTGGAGAGGCCAAGAACCAAGTTTAGGTTTGAGGTCAGAAAAAATTTCCTAATGTCAAGATATTAGGAGACACCGTATTTTCCAGAGCTAAGGCCCAGCAAGCAAGCAGTGTCCTGAGCTTGGCATAACAATAATCCTTTGCACTGACCTTCTGGAACTGATGGTCCCCGAGCTTGGGCGAGCCCCAACAGGCCCAGACATGAAGCCCTGCTACAAAAGGACTTTTTGTCACTAGACAACCTTGCTCTCTGTCGCTGCTGTGCCTCACCAC